CCAGTAAAAAATAATGAATAGGAAATGCACTCATTACCTTGCTCATGTAACTGTAATCCCTCTGTACATTATTTTACAATAAAATGTATATATATATATATATATATATATATATATATATATATGAAATATCTGCTTTCATTTGTCAGGAAAGCTATTGGCAAGCAATCAAGCATTCAAGAAAACAAGTGTTGGCTAGGATTTCCACCTCTACACTCACTTATACTTTGTAGGAACGAATCCAATTCAGTACTATAAGTAATATATGAGAATTTCTCAAAAACTATTAAAAATAAAACAAAACAAAATGAAGCTATTTTGTTATGTAGTAATTCTATATTCATTATTTTTAAAATACAAGTGTTCTAAAATGAAAGTATATGAGAATACTACACTCCTATGTTTATACTTCACTATTTATAATAACGAGGATATAAAATGGCATCAATCAATAGATGAATGGATAAATAGACTTTCTACATGTAATGAAATCCTGTTGAGCTTTCACTGTATTCTTGTTTTTTGGTATAGTTTTCCCCAGGCTTGAACTCAGTTCCTCTTGATCACAGCTGGTGTTTTACCTTTTGAGCTAAGCTTCCACTTGGCCTTTTGCAGGTTAATTGGAGATAGAACCCCTTAGCATTTTCTCCCAGGCTGACTTTGAACTGCAATCCTCTGGATATTAGCCTTTTGAGTAGGATTTGTGTTACTATAATCCAGAGCTGGTTTGGAATTACTTTTTTTTTTAATGCAAACTACTGTGAAAGCCAACCCCAACACAAACTAATTCCACTGTACATTTGTACATCCTAACACCATTACAAGGCACAGGAGAGATTATTTTTAATTGTTAAGTTTTCTATTTGAGATTATCATGAAAATCATTCAAATTAGTAAATGTGTAATTGATTCTGAAAAATATTTTAGGCAACATAGCTCTAATGCTCAATTATATTTTTTTCATTTAAGTTGGCTAAAAGTGTGTGAGAGTATTGTTATTACAAACCATTATCACTGTATCAGTCACAGTAAGACATTTATGATTTCATTACTCTCAACACCAAAGTTTAATGACACCTAATGTCAAATGTTGACTTCTTATCCAGTTGTGGTACCCCATTCCTGTAATCCCATCACTCAGTAGGCTGTGGCAAGAGAGTATCAGAAGTCTGAGTGCAGCCCAATCTACATAGTTACAACCTGTCACAAACAAACTGATTTATTTCTATTATATGTCTGTAGTTTGTTGGTTCTGAGTAAAAATGACGTTTGCTCACTGTCTCTTCCAGGAACAATTCTGAGTACTGGGTTTGCCAAATCTGCAACATGCAGAATTGCTAGATGAGAAATAGATGACTTGGCCCTGCGTGTGGACTTGTGGCATACAAGACGTGATTGTTGTTGTGGAAGGAGGAAAAGAAGGCAGATTAAAATTGACTGTTAAAGATCCTTGCCTGTCAATAACATTCTTCTGTCCAGTCATTTGGTGATGAATAGTATTGGCTAGCACATTCAATAGAAAATTTCTTAAAATTTATATTACAATATTCACAGCAGCCAATTCGATACATTTTTTTTCCAACTGTTCTTTTGCTCTTTGGTGATTTCTCCAATTTTAAGTGTTTCATGGGTAAATTAAGAACACTCATTCTGAAAAACTGGATAGTTATCATGCTCTATAAATATGAGTTAATTGATCATCAAGCTATCCATTTCTATTTATTATAATGATAGGTGGCTCACTGAAAGAATTGATTAATGGCATCAAAATAGTGTGACAGTTTAATCAGTAACATGAGGATAAATGGTAGTAGACTTTGTCATATATTCAATATGATTTATAGCTTATTGAAATCCTTGATGCTATTATTTGGATCAATTTGAATTTCATCAAATTCCCCAAATAATACAGAACATTCCAAGCTCTTGTCAACATAGTAGTTAGTTTGCGGTCAAGCTAGTTAAGAAGAATAAAATTCAGCAAATAACCTTGATAATTGGAAAAGTAGCTAGAAGTTATAATTTTTCTTTTCAAGCTATGGTTTGAACTAAGAGCCTCCTGCTTACTAGACCTCTTGACCCACACTTCTAGCCCCTCTAAACTTTTGTCATTTTTAGAATAGAATCTCAAGATTTTGCTCAGCATTGGAACATAATACTCTGATCTACGACACCCATAGCTGCAATTATAGGCATGAAACACTATAGACAGACAGACAGATAGAGGTGTGGGCAGTGTCCCTTAGCTCTATTTCTCTCAAGGCTAGCACCCTACCACTTTGAGCCACAGCACCACTTCTGGGTTTTTCTGTGATTAATTGGAGATAAGAGTTTCTTGAACTTTCCTGCCCAGACTGGCTTTGAACCACGATCTTCAGATCTCAGCCTCATGAGTAGACAGAATTATAGGAATGAGTCACCAAGGCCCAGCTTAAGCATATGTTTTATGAAGGGGCAGACACTTCTTTTTTCTTTTTCCCCCCTTCTTTCTTTGTTACTGGCAAAATGAACTTGTGGGTATTTACTACTGTGGCCTTCAATGGAGTGGCATTAACATTCTGCTTCCATTTGTTTTTGTTTTGTTTTTTTTCAACATGGGAGCAGATGCCAGTTTCATATGGGTTGTGAACATCATCCAAGCTGTTCTTCAAATATAAATGTAATTACTGGTCAATAGCCCTGGATAATTTACACATCTGTTGAAATTTTGGAGGTTTTATTAATTAATATGACTCAGAGTTATTTTCCATTTGGATAGCTGAGAGCTATTTCAGATGAAGACACACAGTCCTAACCACAGCTCAAGAATAGATGTGAATAGTCCCAGCCAGGAGCCCTATATAAAAAGTTCAGCTATAACCAAGGGATTTTTTTTTCTCTCAAAGAACAGCTTTGTGCATTTGTGTGACAAGCGAAAGATCTAAAACTTAAGTTTTAGATGGCTAAAATATGGGTAATATTTTTCTTATCAGGGAAGGTGAAGTTATTAAATTCAATGTCATGCAGTATTATTACACTAGAGAGAATACTGAAGTTTTTGCCTAGATGTGATGATCTTCATGCTTTGGGTAAGAATGTTATTTGCTATTTCCTAGTCCATCTGAGAACTTTCAAATGGAAATGAAAGCAGTGGATACCATTTGCTAATGTATTCTCCTTCCACTCTATATTTTCATTCCTCTTCCTTCCACTATCACCACTGTTATCTGATCTACTGTCACTCCTGAGGCATATTTTACTTAATTATAAAAGGCTGGGTGGCAGTATGAAATAATTTATAGATGGATTGAAGTCACAAGGATTTTATTTCTTTTGAATTGTAGGCTACGAAACGCTTAAGAATTTGAATCATGTTATTGTAAAGTCAGCCTTGCTTTATGTAAGATCCAGGTATTGTTCTATATTCCCTATAGCTGTAATATTCTATCTTTACAATGGATCAGTCAGGTATGTATATGTCTCACTCCTAATTTATATTCAAAAATTTAGAAAAAAAACACAATCACACCTGATTTATGGAGCTATAACCCCTCTGCATATCACATTTGTGATCTCTGTTTAAAAAGCAAAACAACACAAAACAAAATCCTTAGATTTATGAGGGTCAAGAGCATTACCAAAGAAGCAGGATTTTGAATGTAAACTTATTCTGAAGCTCATGCTTTCAAGAACTTTCTGTACTCTCCTTTTTTTAATCCCAAAGTTCTTATCCTTAGATTAGCATCACTACCTTTAATGTGTGTGTGTGTGTGTGTGTGTGTGTGTAACACTTACTGAGATTATACCCTTCACTAAATCCCTCAGAATAGATTATAAAGCAAATTTTCAGATATTAAAATTGATTCTGTTACTGCACATCAGTGTTTAAAAATCTGGGACCTCACAATTATTTGGACAAGTTATGGGAATGTTGCTGTTTGCTGTATTTGCTCTCCTACTTTGATCCTGCCACATGCTTAACTCATGGATGCTGAGGTATCTTTCAGCTCCTTAGTAGAACATTTGATCTAAGGAACTTTTTGGTTGGCTGTATTTGACTTCCCAAATATGTGGAAGAAATGTGGTTTATGAAAGTTGGTAATACTATATATGTATATATAGAGAGAGAGATGTATAGATATATGTATAATACTATATGTATGAAACATTTCAAACATTTGTCATTAAAGATATTGAGAAAATGAATAGTTTTGTCTTACAAGCTGTATAGCAAAGGAATAATTGTGTAGGCATTGTGGTTCTTGTGTTTGTACCATTGTTGTTATTTTGGAAGATGTTGTGATATGTTCAAGTTGAAAGTTCTCAACTTTCTGATCCAAGGCTATTATTGATGTTTATAATTTAAGAAGGGGTTGTCTGGGAACACTGCCATTTCATGAATCTGTTTATTATATCAGTTCAGAGGAATTTTTTAATCGCCATGTATTATCAGTGAATCTTTGAATGGCACCAGATAGAAACAGGTAGACTTCCTAAGGATTATTTTGGCTACCAAATGCATTTTAGGAAAAGACCCCAAATTGAAGCTTTTCAAATGGCCAGTTGACAGTTACTAAAACGATACCTAGTTTTAGCTATCTGTCTCTCAAGAATGCAAAATAGTATCTGCAACTAAACTAATGTTATGGCATAGAAAGAACAATATTAAGTAGATTAATATCGATGCAGAAAGTATGGATCTCAAAGTAGCAATACCAAGTCCCATGAAATTTCTAAATGACAGTCTGATGTTGGTAGGATAGGGAAAGAAACAGCTATTAATAAATAAATGAAATGTAAATATGTGCATGAAATAAATGTGCTTGAAAGAATGATGTTGGTAGGCTAGGGATAGAAACAGCTATTAATAAATAAATAAAATGTAAATATGTGCATGAAATAAATGTTCTTGAAAGAATGCTTGAAACATGTAGCTTCCTTCGTATCATTTTATTATATGAAAAATTTAAATGCCCCTAATATCTTGGATTTGGTTCTGTTTCATATGTTTTCTGACACAGATTTATATTTTTGAAAACAATATCTACTATCAACCTGACATAAAAAGCAGTTCATTAAGACTTACATCATCTGGGAAAGAAGGAGTTATTTTTAATGGGATTGCTGATTGGTTATATGAAGGTGAGTTGAATAGTTTTACTTTCTAAAAAATGCATATCACATATTTTCATACAAAATATGCAAGAAAAATGTTCATTCTATAGTAATACTTAAAGCTGTATTTTTCTGCTCTTTTCCTTTTAAAATTGTCTCATGCATTCTTTCCATTGAATGTGCTCAAACTTTGACTGGTTTTGATTTATATCTACCTACCTTAATTCACATTTATTACATGTATGAGTGAGTGGGTAAGTCTGTATGTGTATGTGTATGTGTGTACAAACATTGTTCAGACTGGATTAATGTCATATCACTCTGGAATTAGAAATGATACTCTTGTGTTAAAAGTCTCACAAAAACCATTTAATTTTACTTTTCTCTTTATGGATATTGTAGCCTTTAAAAGCCATGGCACAGGGAGAAAAATAATGCTACCTGAAGAGTTATTTTCAATAAATATTGCTTAAAGTTTCAATAATATCTGAGAACATAAAAATCAAATGGCTGATCAAAATACCTATTTTGATTGTATACTAATTATCTATCATTTATGTGGTAGGTAGGAATTCCCTCAAGAATACTCAAAGCTGGAGTTTTATGCTCAATGATTAGATTCTTCAACTGATCTTGACAAAATATATATGATGTAAAGTTATCATATTTGATTATAAATTTTAAATTTTATTTGATTATAAATTTTAAATAATTTAAAGTTCAGAATCTAATAATTTGGTTTTATTTCTCAAGCAATACTTTCAAAGCAGTCTCCTGATATTTGATATTTTAAATTCTTTAATAAAAACAAATCTTTCAAAGCACTCACTTAATAGTCACTAGTGCCGGGCGCTGGTGGTTCATGCCTGTAATCCTAGCTACTCAGGAGGCTGAGATCTGAGGATCGTGGTTCAAAGCCAGCCCAAGCAGGAGAGACTGTGAGACTCGTATCTCCAATAAACCACCAGAAAACTGGAAGTGGTGCTGTAGCTCAAGTGGTAGAGCACTCGCCTTGAGCTGAAGAGCGGAGGGAAAGCGCCCAGGCCCAGAATTCAAGCCCCACGACCGACCAAAAAAAAAAAAAGTCATTAGTACCACGACCGACAAAAAAAAAAAAATAGTCATTAGTAATGGCAAACTCGATTCCAATTATTAGTCCACTCACTAAAATAGAGCATATATTTAATAAAATCTTTAAGGACCCTATATTTAACTACACAGATTTTGTCAGGTAGAATTCTTTTATTAATGAGTTGTATTCCTTGAAATTACATCTAGACATGTAAATGTAATTGTGATCCTTTACTATTATATGTGTATGTAGGCATATTTATATATATTTATGATATTTTTCCATATATATGCATATGTGTGTGAATGATAAGATCAAATAATAAAAGTTTTTTGGAGGCCACACTTTATCTTGAGAAATAGAATATCAGTAATAATTATCAGTAATAATAATTTTATGAAGGCATAAAAACTAAAATAAAAATGTATACAAGTATAAGATGGCTTCAGCCAAGGGCCCTTGGCTCCCACCTGTTATAATCACTAGTCAAGAGGCTGAGATCTGAGAGATAAATTTTAAAGCTAACCCAGATTGAAGTGTTTGGTAGATTCCATTTCCAAATTAATCAGCAAAAATCAGTGATTCAGAAAAAGCTCAAGTGGTAGAGTGCCAGCCTAGCAAGCACCCCACTACCTACACATTAAAAAAAGAGAGTTGATCACAGGAAATTCTGATTCAGGCTTTTCTATTTCAAAAATCAAATAAGTTATTAAAGAAGCTTGGGATGACCACAGATTCAAGGAGGAAACAAGTGAAGAACAAACTTGATTAATTCTGAGATTATACAGAGTAGATGTTGAGTGATGCACTTACCTGAGAGAACTGGAGAGATTAGCACTTTAACTTCAAAATGTTCTTTTGTTCTGTGTGAGTATCTAAAAAATTAAGAGGTGGGGCACCAGTGGCTCACCCTGTAATCCTAACTACTCAGGAGGCTGAGATCTGAGGATCACCGTTCAAAGCCAGCCCAGGCAGGAAAGTCCATGAGACTCTTATCTCCAATAAACCACCAGAAAACCGGAAGTGATGCTATGACTCAAGTGGTAGAGCGCTAGACTTGAGCTGAAGAGCTGAGGGACAGCACCCAGGCCCAGAGTTCAAGCCCCATGACCAACCTCCCCCTACCCCCCCCCAAAAAAAAACATGTCAAGAAATATGCTAAGTAATTGAATCACAGTAAACAAGTGATCCAACGTAAGAACAAGAGTGAGACAGGCCAGTCTTGGATTTGTGAGCACTCTCCTAAAGGAGAAACAATCTGATTGAGCCTGAAAATTAAGAACTTTTACATGTGAAAATAAATTAAAAGAGAAAATGCAGTAAGAGGTAATAGCTTGCAAAAAACAAATAAACAAAAACACTAATGGGTTAAATAGCAGAGCTTATGTAGTTAGATTTACTCGACAGAAATGAGGTATAAGATTTGAGACAGGAAGACAAGAAGAAGCAAGGAATAATGACCTGAGATTTTTCTGAGGTTTTATTTCACTTACTACTAGTAAATTGAGACAAGTAAAGAGTGACAAGATTAGTTCTTCTACTTTTATATATCAGTACTGTTATGATGTAAAGCTGAGATCTTATAGTAGGAAGGACCAGTGAGCAGTATCAGGCTTTTTCTGTGCTCTATCTGGAGATAACGAGCAGTGGGACAAGGGTTAGAGCAGTTAGTAGACTGAAAGATGGCTCTAAAATTGATGAGGCAGTGAAAGAGATAGGTTTTAGTGGATGAGCAGATAGAGTGCATAAGAGCCAAGAATCACACTATGGCTTCTGGTTTGGATTGCTAGTAAAAGTGGTGTCAGACACAGTGATCAAGCACTAACAAGCAACAGTAGGTGTTAGACAGAGAACTTGGTGCAAATGTAGCATGTGTCAGTATGCTAGCATGATATGCTATGGGCATCACTTTAAGATTCTTAGTGTGAGTCAATCTGGTATATACCCAATGTAGACATTGCCTGTTTTTCTGACTCCTTGATAAGACTACTTAGGCCTATGTTCTAATGGGAAAATTTAAGGTGGAAAATTAGAAATCTCTTATCTATGAAAAAGGTCATTCTCTTAATAAAATAAAGAAATTTTCTATTTGGGCTGAGAGTGAACAGTGAGTATAATAGGGTTGAGGGATGAACAGGACACATTAACCAAAGCCTGACACTGCAGATCTGACAGATTCTAATAAGGATAGGAGAAATTAAGATTTTGGCCATATAATTAAACCTAATATTTGAGGCTCTCTTGTTGCAGATATGAAGAAATTCTATGTGTTATTGTTGTTGTTTGGTCAGTACTATGGCTTGAACGTGGGACTTTGTGCTTGTTAGGTTGATACTCTATCACTTGAGACATTCCTCCAGACTTCCTTTTTGCTAGTATTGTGGTGGCAGAGTCTAGAGAAATTCTTTGGACTGGTGTCTAATTGTAGTCCTCTAGATGTCAGTTGCTTGAGTAGCTTGAATTACAGACAAGAGTTACCATACTTGGCCCTGTTAGTCTCATAAAAGTATGAACTGAGAATACCAAGTGAGTAGCTGATATAACAATGAATACGTATGTTGTATCCACAAAATCAGTGTTGCATCGGAAGTGAGTGACTCAACATGCTATCTCATGTAGCAAATCTCTGTGACATAGCATACATATTTTGGCCCCTAAAGTAACAGAATTCACTGATCTTTTCCTTAGGCAAAGATACCAAATGATACTGTTTATCTACTTATGACAATTCTCACCATACTATAAGTGAAATTTGGAGTCTCATATTTTTAAGAGATTGTTGTTGGAAATCTAATACACATCATGTAAGATGCTTGTGAATTTGGTATTATGTGAGAGCAATACAAGGTCACCTTAGTGGAGTGTAAACCACTACATGTAAGGAACCATTCAGAATTCAGTAAATAGAAGTCTGAAGAAACTCAAGTCAGTGCAATATAGACTTTAAAATTACAAATAAATTTTAAGTCTAATGTGACGGAGTAAAAGTCTTTACATTGTTCTAAAAGAATAAGGAACTGATAATGTTCTTAGTGATACACTGCAAATACTGATTATCACACCCTCTTCATTTAACACAATAATGTAAGATACCTTTTTGTTTTACTTATTGCCTTCTGTTGGACACATGAATTACATTTATTCCTAGTTGGTTCAATAAGGGCTTACTGGACTTACTTCCCATGAAAATTGTGCTATAATAAATAAGACAAAAATAAAGTGGAAATGCAACACAGGAAGTTGGAGAAAGGCAAGATTCTGGACAGGACTAAGTCTCCTGAGGTGAAATGTGAACACATATAATTCTTGTAAGGAAGTTAACAACACAATGCAGACAGATGAGCAGAAACTCAACCATGAACCCAGAAGGATACAAATAGCAGCCTTCAGGAATTCTGTGTACATTGATTGTAAAATGGATATGGATAACATTAACTTGCTTTCCAGAATAGCACATTCATCTGGATTCAGTGGTTATATATTAGTTTTCTGGAAATGCTTTATGTTGAAGTTGTGTTTATAAGTGTCTGTGATATAAAACCACATATGTTGACAACCCCATCTGCTCTGTAGTAAAATTTTCTAAATCAGAATAAGAGACAAAGAGTCCAAACTAGAGTAAAGTGGAACAGAATGCAACTTGTAAAAATAAATTGTTTGTCAATGTTATAATGTAATTAACATTAGGAGTTTCCATCCTTGAGTAAACTCTCCTACTAGTTGCAATTAAACCAGTGTGTGCCTGATGCTTGATGACTGTTAAGGAAATGCTTAGCAAACATTCTTTTAGTTATTCCCTTAGTTATTTCACTTAGTCTTATGCTTGAGAAAGTTGCATAATTTTTTGCATTTTATTATTTTGGTGTTCTAATATTTTCTGAATAATATTAAGTACAAAGAATTCTAATAGAGATTGTTTTGGACATAGTCCTTAAATATGACCATGCTTACTGAT